CAATAATCAGTGTTGCATCTTTTGATTGTTGATGGTCCACACAGAGCCTGGCCACTGCTTCAAACATTATGGGCTCCAGAGACATCCCCACTGCCAATACATGAAGAATTTAAACAATGATTTCCTCTTGTTCACTTATTGGATCACAGGACTTAGGGAAATCACCATCAGCCTTCTTTTACTGCTTCTGACATAACAGAAAAATGTGATTAATTGTCTCCAGAAATATAGATTTAGCAAAAATTATTTGGAACAACTATCAAGTAAATTAATTTCTGTAGCCTTCATCATGCTATTCAGCAATTGCTATAACAGAAAAATGCTCTTGATTAATGAGTCCACCAATTGCAATGGTAAATTCCAATCCTCAACAATAAATTACATAAATTTTTTATTCACATCCTCTACTGACTTCCTTAATTCATACAGCTGTTTTTCTACATTTTCTTGGTATTTACTAATCAAATTATAGTCATTCATTTTATTTATTTATTAAATATTTCATCCAATTTAGTATCTTTGGGGTCAGTAGTTAGTGAATTATGAAGTTTTTTAGCTATGTGTTACCTTGTATTTTCATATATCTTGTATTTTTGTGTTGTTGTATGCATCTGTTCAAGTGGATTTCTTTACCACTCCTATGTATAGGCCTTTTTAAGGCACAGTCTTCTCTTGCCAAAGTGTCCTGGACTTCTTGAGATTCAGACCCCCTCACAGTTGGGATATAAACAAACTTTATGTTAATTCACTGCTTTTGCTTTAGAAATGAATTTCTATGAATGAGACTTAAAGGCCCACCATTAGCCTCTCCTACTTAGGGCTATTACTGGTTTTTCTCTTCTATTTATTGTAATAAACTAGAGATGAACTCTGGTAATTTATGCATACAGGAAGGTGCCCTTTTCATCATCAGGTTTAGTTCACCAGCAGAATTTCTATCCCATGAATTTCTACTTCCCTGTAGATTACCATCATCTCACAATAAAGAGGGAAACAAACATAGCAATAATCAAAGCAAAAGAAGACTGTAGTACAATTGGTGCCTGCTGTCTCTCTGTAGAGTAAATGATGCTGAAGAGATATGCTGAAAAAATGTTCAGTCTTGAAAATTCAAACATTGTTAAAGAAAAGAAGTAGCCATGACCAGAGTATACAAAAACTCTGGAACAACACTAAGAAACCAAATTTAAGAATCATTAGAATTGGAGTGAGAACTGTGGGCTAATGGAATTGATAGCCTTTTCAGGTAAATAATAACAGAAATTTTTCCAAACGCAGAGAGCAAGATGGCCATCAAGACACAGGGTACATTCGGAAACCAAAATATACAAGATTGAAAATAGAAACTCTCCACAAAACATTATAATGAAAATACCTATCATACAGACCAAGGATAGAATTTTAAAACAAGCAAAAAAAAAATTCATGTCACATGTAGAAGAAAGGCAATCAGAGTTACTTTTAATTTCTGAGGTCACACTCTAAAATACAGAAGGACTTGGAATGAGGCACTCCAAGTGCCTAAAAGAAAATACCTTTAGCAAAACTATCCAGCAGAATTTTAGCAGAACAAAAACCTTCCAAGATAAGTAGAAACTAAAAAAATTAATGACTACTAAGCTGTTACTAGTAAAAATACAGAAAGAAATACTATACAAAAAAATAAAAAAACAAATCCAAGTCTCACAAAAGAATAAATTTCACTTGAAGAACAGCTAAGCAAATGAGGAAAAGGACTAAATTAAACATTATAAATAAAGCAAAATGCTAGCAATGAATAATCAACTCTATACAATAACATTGAGTATAAATGGTCTCAACTCCCCTAATTAAAACATATAGGCTGCCAGAATGGATTTTTTAAGAAAAACCAAATTATATATGATTTGCAAGAGACTCAAATTTTAGGCAAAGACATCCACAGGCTGAATGTGAAAAGATGGAAATACCATGCAAATGGAGCCTGAAAACATGCAGATATTGCTATTCTCATATACAGCATCAGAGAATTGAGTGTCATGTATTTTCAGTCATATGTGAAAGCTACATGGGAAAAAGGAAAACATGTTGTGGTGAGATGTCATGAAAATGGAAGGGATATCAGTATAGTAAAGGAAAGTGATCATGGGGAGGGAAGAGGGGAGGAAAAGAGGAAATACTGGGGAATGTTATTGGCCAAATCATAATGTTATAATGTGTGCATGTGCATATATGAAAAAATGAATCCCACCATTAAATACAACATTATGCAACAATAAAATATGGGAGAAAATAAAAAGCAAAAGAGCACTATATAATAAACCAAGGCCATATTAAGAAATAATTATCATTATTAATAATAACTACATGGTTTAATAAAAAATATGCTCTGATACTCTTTTATTTCTATGTAGCTCTTTGAGTTACTACAATAAAGAAATATGC